GTCACTTTGAAAGCTGTGTAGTTTTTAAATACTTTCTTGCAGAGGGAAGAAAATTGTTATTATACGAGGGTTGAATGAAAAGTAATGCCTCCACCTTTGTTTCTTGGGTTTAGATGGGAAAACTTTAATAAATCAAATGCAGAAATAATCCTTAGAATGTGCTCTTTAACTACCACTATTCACTTTTCTACTAGGCCTGGGTAACAACGGAAAAATTTGTTTCTAAACTCGTTTCGTTTTTAGGGGGTTTTTGCGTTTCTTTATTTAAAAGAATTCCGAAATTTTTCTTTAAAAAAGTTCGATATTTACGAAATTTCGGAAATTACGAAACAATTTCGAAACAATAACGAATCGATTCGTTAATGGCGGACGCGATTGTGCAATACGCTAAAAAACCCTCCAAATGGGACAGGGGGAACTTCTGAAGCTTCCCTCTCGCTCTGTTGCTGACTGTTGGTGTGATAAAAATTTTTTTTATCACTGATAAAACAAACAACGACTATAAAACTTGCACCAGACATACGGAAATAATAACAAAATAATAACGAAACAATTTCGAATTACGAAACAATTTCGAAACAATTACGAAACGAATTGGAAAAATTCGTTTCGTTTTTTTAGTTGCTCCTGAATGGTTCAATATCACTTCGTTATCAAAAAAAATAACGAATTAATAACGAATTACGAAATTAACGAACGAAACCGCCCAGCCCTATTCTATTCTACATAATCACCAGACAATTGGATACATTTCTGCCAACAATGAACAAGTTTTCTGAAGCCGTCACAAAAGAAGTCGACACTCTGTTTCCGCAACCAGTGTCTCACAATTCTCTCAACGTCTTCATCAGAAGCATAATGATGTCCCCGCAGTCACACAAACAAGTATTTAACTCTTCTCAGGAATATAATACTTTACAAAAGGGTTATGATTATTCCAAATGGTGTGAATGCCAATTACTGTAATCTTCAAAAGCAGTGGTTCTCAATCTTCCTAATGCTGCGACCCCTTAATACAGTTCCTCATGTTGCGGTGACCCCCAACCATAACATTATTTTTGTAATTTTGCTACTGTTATGAATCGTAATGCAAATATCTAATATGCAGGATGCATTTTCATTCACTGGACAACATTTGGCACAAATACCAGATTCACCCAAATTTGAATACTGGTAAGGTTGGGGGGATTGATATTGTCGTTTGGGAGTTGTAGTTGCTGGGATTTATAGTTCACCTACAATCAAAGAGCATTCTGAACTCCACCAACGATGGAATTGAACCAAACTTGGCACACAGAACTCCCAAGACCAACAGAAAATACTGGAAGGGTTTGGTGAGCACTGAGCTTGAGTTTTGGAGTTGTAGTTTACCTACATCCAGAGAACACTGTAGACTCAAACAATGATGAATCTGGACCAATACTCAATATTCCCAAAGATGAACACTAGTGAAGTTTGGGGAAAATAGACCTTGACATTTGGGAGTTGTAGTTGCTGGGATTTATAGTTCACCTACAATCAAATAGCATATATGTAAGTTTAACTGAGATTATCCTGATCCTGTTTAATTGCTCTGTTCCCATGATATCTCCTGTGCCATTTATGTTCCTATCCACCCTATTTAATTATTTTCCCTTAATCAATTTGTATGTTGGCCTTCCCCCCCGCCCTCCAAAATTGGTTTGCTGTTGCTTGATACTTTACTGTTATGCTGTTTGTGCTATTTTAATTTGTAATTTGCTGTTGTCTTTGATTTTAATCTGTATGTTGCTTGGGCTTGGCCCCATGTAAGCCGCCCCGAGTCCCCTTGGGGAGATGGAGGCGGGGTAGAAAAATAAAGTTCTACTACTACTACTACTACTACTACTACTTTTCCGAACTCCAGTGATAGAATTGGGCCAAACTTCCCACACAGAACCACAATGACCAACAAAAATACTGTGTTTTCTGATAGTCTTTGGCAACCCCCCTGACACTCCCCCCCCCCACCGTGACTCCCCAGGGGTCCCGAACCCCAGGTTGAGAAACTCTGTCCAAAAGGGTCATGCTTCCAAAAGGCTATGGAGATTTTTGGTTTCTCAAAGGGTTATGGTGTCTAAAAGGTCATGCCTTTCCAAAATTGACAGACAAACATGTGTCTTTTAACCATTTTTTTTTTGCATATTTTTGAATACTTTCCATTTCTAGTGTCAAGGGCTATAGAGAACAGGGAAGCAAGGATCCTTACACAAATAGGTATAGTAAGATGAAGAAGTGAGGTCACTGTTCCTATAGGGATGGGGTGGGAAACCACAGAGGAGGACAGCTTTCACATATTATTGTTTGAAAAGACAAGCTAGAAGAGGCTGCAACAGTTTGCTTTTCTCTATTGGGAAGGGCAAATTTCCATCTCTCCTTCCTTCAGCTAAGTAAATGAAATGCAAACTCCTCTTACTCTGTGAACTCAAGCAAACTGAGGACAACTGAGGAAAGGACGGGAGAGAAACTTGGACATTTTTAAAGGAGTTCATAAAGTGGGGTGAACAGTGAATTAATACAGACTGTCCTAAATTGGGATGGTTGGAGGACATGAGATTGTGGATCTCAATAACAGAGACAATTCTGTCTCCTAGTGAATGATCCAATGGGTACGTTCTTTAGCTCAAACCTCATGGAAATAGTGAGGTGGTCTACAAAACCTCAAAGGGGGCAAAGCTACCCAAAGTTTCCACCTAAACATCTACTGTTCTGCCGAATATGAGCTAAGGACCTCATATGTGCTATTTTCTTAATTTAAAAGATTTAGATGCCACCTCTGTGCCAAACCACAGGCCTCTGTCAGTGGCTGGCTGTAGGAGAAAATAATACATGACGTAAGAAGGTACAGACACAAAAGAAAAACAGTGTGAGGTTAGAGTGGATGAAGTGTTACAAAAGAGAGATAACACATTTTAAACAAAGCGGAATGAGGTTGATTGGACACCTCTTAAACTCAGACGGTACAATTAAAGATTGGGTGACAATAAAGGACAAATGTTGAGAATGTAATTGGCTTTTATGGAAAGGTTTGAAACATAGGCTTATAGAGTGGAGAAGAAAGGGAAGATGCTCAGAAATAGATTTTGATCCAATTTTTAAATGGAAATTAGAGAAGAAGAAAAGCTTGATGGGTTTCATATACAGCAGTGGTTCCCAACCTGTGATCCACGGACCACCAGTGGTCCACAAGAAGTAAAATATGGTCCACGGCCTCACCATTACTACACCATTGCAACACCCCAAAAGACCACACCTCCTTTCCTATTGAAGAGAGATGTTGACAAGCTGGAAAGTGTCCAAAGGAGGGCGACTAAAATGATCAAGGGTCTGGAGAACAAGCCCTATGAGGAGTAGCTTAAAGAGCTGGGCATGTTTAACCTGAAGAAGAGATGGCTGAGAGGAGACATGATAGCCATGTATAAATACGTGAGAGGAAGTCATAGGGAGGAGGTAGCAAGCTTGTTTTCTGCTGCCCTGGAGACTAGGACGCAGCACAATGGCTTCAAACTACAAGAAAGGAGATTCCATCTGAACATTAGGAAGAACTTCCTGACTGTGAGAGCCATTCAGCAGCGGAACTCTCTGCCCCAGAGTGTGGTGGGGACTCTTTTTTTTTTAAGGTTTTAAACAGAGGCTGGATGGTCATCTGTCGGGGGTGCTTTGTATACAATTTTCCTGCTTCTTGACAGGGGGTTGGACTGGATGGCCCATGAGGTCTCTTCCACCACTATGATTCTATGATTCCTTGTGGCCAGGCGCCTGTCGCGAGGAGGTGAGAGAAAGCCATTAGGGACCATTTCTTGGGTCCGCTTCTCCTTCTCCTTTTTTTACACAAGCATTGACAAAATCTACAGGTAATAACACAGCCTAACAAAACAAAAAAACTTGGGGTCTTCGTTTTTAGGCCTGTTCCTGGGGTTATTTGGGGTGCTGATTCAGAAAATTGCATTGGATAGACTGTGATGGCACACCCGAGCCTTTGGGAAAAAATATAGTGTCTGGTTTTACTTGGGAGCTATCTTTATACCTTCTGTTATACCCCTTAACACAGACACACTTTAAGCAAGGTGAAAAGATAACCAAAATGAGTTTACTGAAAATAAGATGAACAAATTATTAACTCCATCTGGGACTTTTACAGGATAACTTGAAACAATACATTACAAAAGGAGATTTTGCTGTCTGCAGTCATCTCTCTGGAGTCTTTGAAAGTCTCTTGCGTCTGGTACAAAGCAATGGTTATAAACTGTCTCAATCTTTTTCCTTGTAAAGCTTAAGCAGGCCAAAAGCTTCTGTTGTCTCTTGGACTGTGGGTATATGGATACTGCTAAATGTAGGTGCTAAGGATGCCTGTTTTGAATTGCTAGGGCCTAGGATTCCCTCCAGAGGAATAGTGGACATGATCTTCACTGCACAACAGCTCCAAGAAAAATGCAGGGAACAAAATCAACCCCTGTACATGGCATTCATTGACCTTGCAAAGGCATTTGACACAGCGAATTGTAGTGCTCTCTGGACCATCCTCCAAAAAATCGTGTGCCCTGACAAATATGTGAACATCCTGCAAGTCCTCCACGATGACATGATGACAACAGTCTTGGACAGCAATGACTCCCAAAGTGACCAATTTAAGGTGGAATGAGGTGTTAAACAGGGATGTGTTATTGCCCCAACCTTATTTTCCATCTTCATTGCTATGATACTTCATCTTGTTGGTGGGAAGCTATCGGACAGATGGCAAGCTATTTAACCTCAACAGACTGAAAGCCAAAACCAAGGTCACAACAATATCTGTTATAGAACTCCAATATGCTGATGACAATACCGTCTGTTCGCATTCAGAAGAAGACCTACAAGCCACTGTAAACACATTTACAGTTAAGATAGTATCGAACAGCATTAATTCTACGGTGTAGATGCAGCCATTCTCAAAGCTGGTACAAAATCCTATACATTCACATTAGAAAATAGGTTAAGATTACCTGGATCTCTTTGATGTGAAAAGCAAGGATCAGGATCACTAGCCCAGCTGTGGAGAGGCTGATGAGGCATTTCACCATGAAGGAATAGGCAAACCACTGAAAGAGGAATAAAAAAGAGGGAGAGATTGAAAAACATAATAGGGAGACTCCATGGGCCATTTCAGCCCTTCGCACCAGCCAGGACTACCAGCTGATGGTTAAATAAATAGCAACATCCATTCCAGGAGAATCCCTTTGATCCATTTTTGTATATTTCTGCCTTTCTATCCTTTCATCAATTTTGAAATTTATATTGGTATTCTGACAGCTGTTTTTCTGCACTGCCACCACATTGCCTGCAAATACGAATGACAGAGCCCCTGGTGGCGCAGCGGGTTAAACCTTTGCGCTGCTGAACTTGCTGACTGAAAGATTGGTAGTTCGAATCCAGAGAGCAGAGTGAGTTCCCATTGTTAGCCCCAGCTTCTGCTAACCCAGCAGTTCGAAAACATGCAAATGTGAATAGATCAATAGGTACCACTCTGGTGGGAAGGTAACAGTACTCCATGCACTCACGCTGGCCACATGATGTGATTGAGTCCCTACAGTCGGACTTGACCAGACTTAATGTCAAGGGAAAGCCTTTACTTTTATCTATTCTGACAGCTGTTTTTCTGTATTGCCCCCACATTGCTTGCAAATACAAATGAATGAATGAATGAATGTTATTGTTAGGGTCACCCAAGAGTTGCAAATACCATCATCCCCAATTGCTAACAGGAAGACAGGGGCTGATAGGAACTACATTGCATAATATCTGCAGGGTACCTGGTTGAGCTCAGAGCAGTATTATCCCACAACAGTATTAGTTGGTAGTCTCTCATCCAAGTACTAACCAGGGCTGACTCTGCTTAGCCTTAAGATCATCCGGTCCCTTTGGAGACATTAGGCCATGTTGACATCAAAGGGCAAAAAACCAAAGGACACCATTTCCACTTGTCTGTCTCTCTCGGAAACACTGTCCCGAAGATCTGGCACCCATACAATGGATGATACATTACTTGACAGAACATATTCATTTTTGGTAGGTCTGTTTATAAGTGGCCATCAACCATAACAGGTGAAGGAAACATGGTTGATCCGCAGGATATTCATAGCAAACAAAATGAATGTTTTTTTAATGCAGTTTGAACAAAAGCTTATTAAGAAAAGGACTTTGTAAAAAACACACACATTTTGCATGTGTTGAAAGGCCTCCACTGGTTTGTTTGTTCCTGCAGGTGCAAATGGCATTGGCATCAGCACCTCATTTCGGTGGACAAATTCCAGAACTGAACCTGCTCTTTTATGTGCCAAATTGAGCCATCAAGCTAAAAATTAGACAGGGCTCCTCTATGTTTAGGGCAGTTGTTCTCAACCTTCCTAATGCCTTGACCCCTCAATACACTTCCTAATGTTGTGCTGACCCACAACCATAAAATTATTTTTGTTGCTGCTTCATGACTGTAATTTTACTACAGTTAAGAATTGTAATGTAATTATCTGATGTGTAGGATGTATTTTACTTCACTGGACCAAATTTGGCACAAATACCTAAAACACTCAAATTTGAATATTGGTGGTATTGGGCGGGGACTGATTTTGTCATTTGGGAGTTGTAGTTGCTGAGATTTATAGTTAACCTGCAATTAAAGAGCATTCTTAACTCCACCACAATGAAATTAAACTTGGTAAAACTCCCATGACCAACAGAAAATACTGGAAGGGTTTGGTGGACATTGACCTTGAGTTTTGGAGTTGTAGTTCACCAACATCCAGAGAACACTGTGCAAACAATGATAGATCTAGACCAAACTTGGCAAAGATACTCAATTTGCCCAAATGTGAACACTGGTGGAGTTTGGGGAAAATAGACCTTGATATCTGGGAGTTGTAGTTGTTGGGATTTGTAGTTCACCTACAATCAAAGATCATTCTGAACTCCACCAATGATGGAACTGAACCAAACTTGGCAAACAGAACTCCCATGACCAACAGAAAATACTGGAAGGGTTTGGTGAACATTGATCTTGTGTTTTGGAGTTGTAGTTCACCTACATTCAGAGAACACCGGACGCAAATCGTAGATCTGGACCAAACTTAGCACGGATACGCAATTTGCCCAAATATGAACACTGGTGGAGTTTGGGGAAAATAGACCTTGACATTTGGGAGATGTAGTTGCTGGGATTTGTAGTTCATTTACAATCAAAGAGCATTGTGATCCCACTAACAATAAAATTAGGCCAAACTTCCCACACAAAACCCCCATGACTAACAGAAAATACAGTGTTTTCTGATGGTCTTTGGTGACCCCTCTGACACCCCCTTGCAACCCCCCCAGGTTGAGAAACACTGGTTTAGGGCTTGCACAGGAGAGTGAACTTCATCAGTTGCTTGGGACAACTACTTTTTGATTGCAATCATCATTGGCCGTGCTGGCTCAGAAAAGAATTCTGGAAGTTGTTGAATTAGGTCCCTTTCCTAAACTGCAGTTGGAGTACATATTCTATCATTCCCACGTATGACAATAGCTGGTGGGCATTTAGGAGTTATAACCCCAAGCCTAACTTTCTGAAGCTATGTTCCCAACCATTACAGCCATGGTATAATTCTTCTTGTCTCCAAATGCAGTACTTACCAATGGAGGTGTTGTTAAAAAGCTTGTCACTTATTGTTTCACTAGATTAGATATAGCTTCACATGCTTCTCACTGAATCAGAGTTAAAAGCGCCCCGGCCAGCAGGTGAGATGTGTGGCCAAGGCGTCTTGGCCGATAAAACAAACATCACATTGTGATGTTGTTGCAGGCAACAGCTTTTCCAAAATAAGCTGATTTAACAGATGAAGCAGGTGCTGCCTTCCAAGACCGTTGGTTTGAGGGTGGGGTTGTTCCTTTCACACACCCATGAAACAATCCTATGCATACTGTTGGGCGAGTGGGCTTATTAACAAAAGACCCTCCCCATGAATTTATAGCAGCAGTGTGACCCAGCACCAGTAGCCCAAAGTGATAAAAAGAACAATAACGTACAGACCAATGTTATATGTTCCATAGGAGGTTTTTCTTTGTAGTAAAATAATATGGTTGCACTACTTATAAGAACAATGTTTCCATAACACAAATAAAGTTCTTTATGCTTCCTTCTTTACTTCCACGCTGGGCTTCTTTCGCATGCAGATAAAACAGCTTCGCTCTCACAGAGCCTCTTCTCTCACYAAACKTACACAGGAACTTTACACAGTAGCTTTTTACACAGCARCCTTCACACACTGAGGCCTTCTCGCATGATGGCCTTCAACCTGGGGCTTCTCTCACACCAAAGCTTCTCACACAAGGCCTTCTCAAATTGAGGCCTACTAACACTGAGGCCTACCTCACACTGAGGCCTTTCTTCTTTACTTACACGCTGGGCTTCTTTCTCATGMAGATAAACAGTTTCGCTCTCACAGAGCCTCTTCTCTCACCAAACTTACACAGGAACTTCACACAGTAGCTTTTTACACAGCAGCCTTCACAYGCTGAGGCCTTATCACATGATGGCCTTCAACCTGGGGCTTCTCTCACACCAAAGCTTMTCACACCAGTCCTTCTCAAACTGAGGCCTACTAACACTGAGGCCTAACTCACACTGAGGCCTTCCTCCCACTGAGGCCTTCTCACACTGAGGGCTCTGTCAGACTGATACCTCTCTCACACTGAGGCAAACTAACACTGAGGCCTACCTCACACTAAGGCCTACATCACACTAAGGCCTTTCTCTCATTGAGGCCTTCTCACACTGAAGGCTACAGGCACAACTGCTACAGGCATACCTGCTTATACTGAGCTACAGTTTTTTTGCTGAGTGGTTATATACATTTAACCCTTACAGTGCTTGACTCACATTTCTGTAATTAAAAATACCTAGTTAATTTTTAATATTTCTAACCCATACTTCTGGAGAAGTAACATTTTGCACTACAACTCCCAGGAACTTCACACTGTAGCTTTTTACACAGTAGCCTTCACACACTGAGGCCTTCTCACATGATGGCCTTCAACCTGGGGCTTCTCTCACACCAAAGCTTCTCACACCAGTCCTTCTCAAACTGAGGCCTACTAACACTGAGGCCTACCTCACACTGAGGGCTCTGTCAGACTGACACCTCTCTCACACTGAGGCAAACTAACACTGAGGCCTACCTCACGCTAAGGCCTACATCACACTGAGGCCTTTCTCACACTGAGGCCTTCTCACACTGAGGGCTACAGGCACAACTGCTACAGGCACACCTGCTTATATTGAGCTACAGCTTTTTGCTGAGTCATTGCGTCCATTTAACCCTTACAGTGCTTGACTCACATTTCTGTAATTAAAAACACCTAGTTAATTTTTAATATTTCTGACACATACTTTTGGAGAAGTAACATTTTGCACTACAACTCCCAGGTAACTGGCTAAAGGATTCCTGAGTTTCTAGTTCAACCAACCTAATATGCTGAGCTTTGTTGATAATCAGAGAGAACAACAGATTATTCTACTTCACAGATTTTATGAGCAACACTTTTACTTTTCCTAGGAGACAAAGTCCTGCATCCTATTATTATATTGTTGAAAGGTTTATTTCTTTCCGGATTTCCCTAATCTGGGCGTAAAGACAGATTGCAGCAGTTAATAAAGACATAACTAATCAATGATCTCATGCAAATATTATTAACATAATTAAGTTGCCATTAGTCCCAATCAATAGTAATATCAGTTCCCACAGAATCAATGGGAACTTGGTAAGAGAACACCTATATATATTCGATTGATTCAATGTGTTTAACTCTAAATGACCATATTTTATTTGCAACCCCCACCCCCACCCCACCCCGCAACTATCCAGATTAACCAGAAGCAGCCCTAGGCCCATCTATACGTAAAGTAAAGGTTTCCCCTGACATTAAGTCTAGTCATGTCCGACTCTGGGAGTGGTGCTCCTCTCCATTTCTAAGCTGAAGAGCTGGAGATGCCCGTAGACACCTCCAAGGTCATGTGGTCAGCATGACTGCACGGAGCACCTGCATGGAGCAGAAGGAGTATCTATTGATC